AGACAGACAGACAGACAGCCGGGCTTTTGTTTATAGTATTCGGCATGTGTTTTTACCGTCTTTTGATTCTTTTCTTCAACGGTCAAACTTGTTTTTGCATCCTTCGAGACATCAAAATATTCACACTTGAACCATTCTACGTACTTGCTTCCATAATTGATTGCAGATTTATTTATTTATATATATTCCTTTTTAGATAATTTATTTATTGTGGCCCGTTTGAAAGGGATTTAAATTTTTCTAGAGGAAATCAATTCTCATTTTCAACCACACATTTTCCCATAAAATAATATTTTTCATCACATCAATAATTTTTTCTTCTTTTTCAATCACATATTTCCTATCATATCAGTATCACTATTCAAAATCAATCATTCCCCCAAAAATTCCTCCCAAACAAACTCTATATGTATTCACAGATACAAAATGCAGATTTTTTTTTAAAATTTTATCTTAAGAATGATAAATGGAATTTAAATTGGGACACAAATGAAATATAAATTTCGGTTATTTTCTTTGGTATGAATTACAAAGACAATTTTGACTATTATTATTACTATTATTATTATTATTATTATTATTTTTATTTTTATTTTTATTTTTTTGACGTAGGAACCTGCAACCGCTATTCGCCAGTGGAGCCCCAACCACCCCTAAGGGGTGAATGTCCGACCACTGTGAGTGCGCACTAGATAAACCCCACTCCATGTGCAGTAGCCCGCAAATCACACAGGAGAGGTAAATCGCATTAGGTAAGCTCGGTTCGACGAGCTCGATTGAGGATGTGTTGGTAGGGGATTTGAACTCGTGACCTTTGATCTCCACGTTCACCTGCTCCACCAACTCGATCACCCCCGAAGGGATAGATTTTGACTATTATTTTTCATATTGATAATGGTGCAAGTGGTAGCATATAACTCTCCATTGTAACACATGTTCCAAGTGTGTCAACACTTTGAAATGTGACACTCGTATTGTTAACATACCATTTGTTGATCTAATGTCCCAAGAATAACATTTATCTTGAAACTCGTCTAAAACTATAAATTAATGTTTATTTAAAAAAAATTCTCTAAAGCCTCCTCGTACAGTGACCGATACATAGTATTAATTTCGACCCATGAAGGGTTGTCAACATTATAGTAAAAAGACACTGTCAGTCCATGCATGAATTATTGTAGTGATATGTGCAGTGCATAGAGAGAGGGAGAGAGATGAAGTCCCCCGTTTGTGGCGGGGAGCAGTTTGATGATTAGGGTTTGGAGGATAATATCAGAATAATGTGATGTGGACTGATGGGAATGTGATAAAGATATGGGTTTTTTGAAGGCCGCCCTGAGCCTGAAGGAATTCTGGGTTTCAAACAGTGTATCAGAAATATGAATGAGAAATTAAGGGGCGGATATTTTTCTGACACTCATGTATGACTTTTGTCCATTGGGCATGGATCAATATATGAGTTCTTGGGGGTGGTCGGTGTGAGGCAAGGTAGCATGGGTTGGGAGTAGAGGTGAGGTTCTGTAAGAGGAGTAGTTTAAATTTTAATACGGAAATTTGGTGCATTTCTTAAAATATTTTTGTCTTGACCATCTCTAAATGTAAGATACTCTCTATTTCCAAAAGCCAACTCTTGAAATTAGAATTCAGTAGGCTTTCTAATATAACTTTTTAAAATAAAAGTGGAGACCTATTCGATAAGGGAAAATTCTAGAGATTGCTTCGAAATAAGATCCTAGGCACATGCAATCAAAGGTAAAAGTAGCATTCTCTTGGTAGAGGCGACAATGGAAAATAGTAGGGTGAGGGGAAAGGGGGTAAGCCACTAAATTGAAAGTTTCGCTCGCTCGTCTAGTAGACAGTGAGTGGAGTGCATAAGCCCTTTCAGAGATAGCAGTTGCCTTTAGCTAAGATGGTTCAGGCCTATGACATATTGGAATAGCCTAAAGCCTAGTTTTGAGCATTTCTTTAATGTGGCAACATAGATCTTCCTTTGAACACGGAAATTTTCGTTGATAAAATCTCTTCGTACAAACCTTTGGAGAACTAAACCCACTGTCTATTTGTACTTTATAATCATCGCATTTAGTGCTTGTTTGAAAATTTTTGTTAAAAACTTTATCGATTGATCAAACTTCAAAACTATATATTTTATGAGATTAACAACTTTTCAACAATGTATATTTATCAACTTTTATCAAAACTTACTAAAGTTTTATCAAAAGCTTTGTGAAACAACGTCTTAATAAATTGCTTATTTCAATTCTAAATTTCTTAAATTATTCAAACAATCTTTGAATTTATTACCCAATGATATTTAAAGATCTTTAATTAAAAAGGAGAAAAGATAATAAACTAAATGAAAAAAGTAAAATAAAGATTTTGGTTGAAGTATATAAAATGATTACTCTTTAAATTTAAAGATACTTTCTATTATATACAAAATAATCTTTAAAAATGAGGCAATTGGAAATGCTCTTGACGATACATACCTTCCATATAAACGTAAGAATAAAGCAGTTTGTACAAATAAAAATTACAGAAAGCATTACAGATGATAAAGTGGCAACACTACATTGGTTGGTTTGAATTTATTTCGTGTCCAATATTTAATGAGTGTTCGCGAGTTGACAATCTGTCAAAAAAACTATCAATGATTTATGTACAAGTAGCATTTTTCTAAAACGTAAACTTAACATATTATACACGTATTAGGGTTGCTTATACAAAAAGCTAGGATCCGTGTAACCTTATTATAGAGGTTAAGCAATAAAATAATTTGGGGTAAATTAAGGGCTTGTATGGGAGGGATTAAAATCAGATTAAAATTGAAAATATAGTCGTTATTGTTGACTTTTATTAGACGAGTGGGGTCCAATAACGGCCATATTTTCAATTTTAATTGGCTTTTAATCCCTCCCGAACGGGGGCTAAGTATTAGGAGAATCTAAGGATATCTTTGAACGTTCAAATGGAGAATGAAAGATTGTTTTAAGATTAAGAAACCACGTGCTCATAGGTTACAACTCCGCGTGTTAGGTTAAAAAGTACTAAATAATTATCAAGATAAACTCTACTTCATTGTTATTTATTTCAAGTGGAAACTCAAAAGCCTTGAAATATTTACTATGCATATAATACTTTAGGATTGATTCTAGTTGTAACTTTTATATATATATATATATATATATATATATATA